CCCCAAAACCCCAAAACCCCAAAACCCCGCTATGCAAATTAAAAAAATATTTCGTAGAATTATTAGCAGTGATAATATATTATATTTCGATAAAAATGATAATAAATCCCCTTGAGGCAACATACTAATCAAAATAGGGGCTCTCCTCTCCTTTAAATCCTTCTCATCATTTTATGGCCTCAACTTAAAATTTTGGATCAATAAACTAGGCCAGCCAAAAAATAGTGCTCGTAGAAAAGACTTCATAATAGCAGTCGTCAATGGTATTCTAAGAGCCATTCAAGCCACAATTAAAAGTTTTAGATTAATTTCACAGAAGTATGGAGCGAAAGAGAAGATTTCACTATAATCATCTCAAGTAAAAATCAACCTTTGGTGGGCTTGCCAATGGTCTGATGTTTGGAGAGCATTTAGTAAAGGAATAGTCATTACAACCAGCTTTAAAGACAAATATCATAGATGCTAAACCTTCCTATTACCAGACATACAGTCAATTAAACAATTAGGGAATTAAAAAAACAGTAACCACTAAATTTAAAAAGTCTAATCAGCAACATTAATAGTATTTGTAGCAAATGCAGTAACCTATAGAACAGTCTAAAATAGATATACCTAGTATAGGTACGTTACACTAAAATCATAGACTCATCAGAGAGAATGTCTACGAAGAAAAATGAAAAAGCAGAGTTTAGTCACTTAATTAAAGTGATACCTAAGAATCTGAAAATCAGAGATCAACAGCAGGTCGATATAAATTTGAATAAAATATGGGACTCATGAATGTTATGAATCAAGTTTAACATATGTCATCTACTTTTAATAACCTATAGCCTTTTTCAGTTCATACTTCCTATCAAGATAGCTTTCTACCTTAAATTGAAAGAGGGGTTTTGAATTAGGCAAGAGAATTAAAGACTTAGTTTACTTCTCATCAGAAAAATATCTTAATCAATAACAAAAGTCAGAATTCAACTCATAAAGGAGAGTAGATGAAGGACATTAAGGAGGTGTCAAATGACAATAATGAATTCTCATATCATCAGAATAATTTCGAATCGAAAGATTTAAGTGGACAATTAAACAGTAGGGATTAAATTTACATTCAGGATTATAAAACCACTTTGGATAATGCAACGATGTCAGTAACTCAACTAAATCTAATATCATCAAACGATATTTAAAAACATACTCTTTCAAAGACTAATTCTAAAAATCTGTTCAATCAGACATGCTCAAATGGGCAATTAGTTCTGCCAGTATAGACTGATAAAATGGTATCATATTAAAGCTTTTCTCCTGCAAACCTAATACGTCAGGACAATAAGAAGATGCAGATGAATACCTCCATGAGAGACCTGACTGATAAGAAAGCTCCTCATTAGGTCTTAAAGTAAAAGTACCTAAGATAAAAATATGGACAGCAGAGACATTAATATGATGGTAGATAAGTGCTTAATCCAGTCTAAATTGTTAACTAAGAGGAATACCAGGAATTGATAAAATAAGAATTGAACAGTAAAAAAATGATAGTAGCTGGTTTCAACCAAAATATTACTAGAACTGACAATAATCAAAATGCAATAAGTCCATCTAGGACGTTGCCATCTGGAAGAGTCGAATAAATTAAATACCTGTAGTAGAATTAGCTACTAGATTATATAGCTCACGAGTAAGGAATCTATAACCCCCAAAATAACTTAGGTCTTATTAGTAAATAGCCCTCTCTTAGGATGGGAGTCATTGAAGAACCGCTTATTTATCTTGATAAGAATAATAATAATCTCTTGAGGTCTTTTGAATAATCACCAAAGACCTTAGCTGGAAATAACAACCCTCCACCTTCATTAATGATTTGCTCAATTAGTTCTTATCTAAAGACTTAAAACAATTTAAATGCCTAAATAAATGATAATTTGATGCTTTCTCCCTCCTAGACTAACTTGAGTAGAGATAGAAATGAAGTGTTAAACATGATGCATGTCAATGATACTGAAAATGATATAGATAGTGAAGATGATTAAAGTGAATGTGTTAGTGAAAAAAGCCATGATGTCCCAGAAATCTTAGACACTAACAGAACTTAAGATTAATAGCTCAAAGAAATCTATGATAAATACACTTATGAGCCTGAAGAAAACTTTTTCACTTCGACCAAAATTGACTTAAAGCCAAAGCATGATCTAGTTGCAATTAAGAATAGACTAAGCAAATAGCCCATTAGCAACACTCCTAATCAAATGAAGAAGTAATCTCTAATGTAAAAACTTAACATAAATGTTGGTATCAACACTGGACGAAAAACAATTCAATAATTTTCAACAGAAGCTACTGTAGTTGATAAGTAAGAATAGATTGTTAAGCTTTAGCAGAAAAAGAAGGATTTCCTACAGAGTAATCAATAATAATAGTAAATTTCTTTTAAAAAGAAAAAAAGGAAATTTGCACTTGGCAACATTTTATGTACTCTGCCCAAGAATCTTAGAGAATAAGAGGCTCAATTTTTCTTATCAAATTTTCAAGTGAACCCAGTATTTACCTACGACAATATTTACTTGACATAAAGATATGTTAATGACTTTACATTTGTTGAAAATGAAGAGCTGTTGAACATTGCTGTAAAAATCATAAAAGCGTTTATCTCAGAGTATGGTAGTGAGAGGAATTTTATTGAAAGGGAGGGTAGATTGTTGACAAGAGAAGAAACTGAAGAATCTTTCTAAAATTATATAGCTGAGCTGGAACTTGAAGAGTATTTAGCACTTAACTTCACCTCGAATGCTGTATGTAATAAAATCTTTATATTTTTTAGATTGCTCCAACAAGTATTACTCATTCAAACAATGGCAAAAAAAGCAAAATTAATATCTGCTTGCCTATCGATTATAGTGAAGGTAGAATTCAAGGAGTAATGCATCATGAAATAGGCACTCATTTTGTTCGCAAATTTAATGACAAGTTTTAAATGTGGACTGGAAAGAGAGCAGTATTTAATCTATAGGGATCTCTTGACACAGAAGAAGGGTTAGCCTGCATTAACTAGTAGCTTGAGAATACAATTTATGGCAAAAATAAATTAACTAATAGGCTGAAACTAAAGCCTTATCTCTTTAGACCAGCTTTGTATTACTACTGCTGCCATTAGAGTCAGAAATTATCTTTTGTGGAATTGTTTAAAGATTTGGAATAGTTCATTTAAGATCCTCTTAGAAGGTACATTTATCGATAAATTTAAATTCATTATTCAGATGGAAATATGTAATGAGAGTGAAGAGAGGACTAATAAATACTCAGGATATCGGTGGATTTTATAAAGATTAGGTTTATCTTAGAGGAGCAGTCGAAATATTGAAATATAGAAGAACAATAAATTTTGAAGACCTCTTCTGTGGGAAGCTGGCTCTGCAAGATGTATTACTTATATCTTCTGAGATAAAGTAAGCCGATATTTCTCCTAATTAAACAGATTAATAACCAATTCATATAATAGGAAAATAAAGTTAAATAAGGAAACCAGTACAATAAAACTGCCAACATTTCTCAAAGATATGGAATTATATAAAAAAGCTATTGATGAAATAGCTAGAGTAAACTTTATCGATTGAATTATTACTAAAATAATATTCTCTTAAAGCATCCTAAAACTAAAATTATTCATATTCATTAATTAATCTATTTCTTTGAATGAGTTTAATTCAACTGAATGGGGTTTTGGGGTTTTGGGGTTTTGGGGTTTTGGGG